TTGATGAGCAGAAGAGACTTCTTTAAAAACATTACAAGTCTTACTAATCCCAAACTTTTGAACGACAGTGTATATATATATATATATATATATATAAAATATGATATATTAGTGAGGGTGGTGTAAACTTAATATATATGATGTGATTGTGGAGCCGGTCAGGGTTTGTTTGGTGCTGATGCTGTGCTGATGTCCAGCAGGACTGGAGAGCCCAGCCCAAAGACCAGCCTCGAGACACACGGCACGACGGGGTAAAACACAGCAGCTGCGCATGTCATGCATGTAGCGTAAAGCATCCTGACCCATGCTGTAGTCTGTGATGATGATGTGAAACTCTGCCTTCAGCTGGCAGGTAAACTGGAGTCGCTGGAGGCTCGTCTGGTCAATCTGAACAGTATAGCGGTGAGGATTCCTCATGTTCAGTCTCGTGTGGGGTCAGGGAGCAGCTCCAGTCCGTGTACTCCAGCGCTGCAGAGAGCGGCCAAACCGCCGGTACGAGACACATCACAGCTCTGCTCTGCTCTTATGCACTCAAACATACCATAGCTTCTCTGTGGGATGGACAGTGTTGGGGAGTAACTAGTTACATACTATACAGCAAACATACTTTACAGAGCTTTACAAAGGCCAGACTCTCACATTATTCCAGCTATAAAGACATAAAACAAGCATGTAGGATCTGAATGTGTGTGACTGTGTGGTTTCAGAGCATGAGCGTGAGTCCCAGTCGAGAGCTTCATCACAGCAGCTCCGTGACAGACCTCTCGTCTGCTCCTCTGTCTCCAGCGCTCGATGAAGTCTTCTTCAGCCCTGACGAGCAGCCGCCCAAGGTTAGAAAACCCTGGTCATGACCCTTCTGTTCACACTCAGACCACACTGTTCAGTACAGCATTCAGAGGAAAGATCAGAGTCACCCGCAGCTGAGGAAGACTAAGTCATGAGTGTTTTGCTGCGTCAGAAACATCTGTATAGGTGGCAGCTGCTAAAGTGCGGTCGAAACAGCTTCCTCTCCCCAAGGGAGGTGCCTTCCTTCCTTCCTCTAATGCGACACATGAACGGTTAGCACACAAAAATACATGTGAGGATGCCACAGAAACCCAGAATGTAGGTCAAAGGTGATCAATGTAGAAAACTGGGGGAGAATAATCAGCTTTATGACCCTGAACAAATGCCAATAAATAATAGGGCTGTCAAAGCGGCTGAAAAACTAAATTCGAATTTTGTACTGAAATAATATCAATATTCGAATTTAAAAGGCATATTGTCAGTTAGGGGGGAAAAGCGTTTGTCTTCTCTCCTGAGGCCACGAGAGGGCGCATCCAGCAAAATACTACTAATGCACGTTTATTCAAAG